CCCCAAAACCCCAAAACCCCAAAACCCCAAGCCATGTTCGAAGAGTTGATAAAGAACCAGTGAGGTATTAAAATAATTATTAATTATGATCAACTTCAAAAAGCTAACAAACAAAAGAAATCGGGATTCATCTGATGACCAGGGAATGGAGCCATCCAGAACCCCTAATGAGCAGACTAGGGAGCATATCATTGATAAGTACTGTCTTTGCAATCAAGATACTGTGGAAGTAAATTGTACCATGAACACCCAAGTCTTTGGTGAAGCCCAACCAGGTGAGTTTTTTTATAGGTTGTTCCAATCTCCTTCAAAATATCAGAAATCGATAATTTGGTGTATTTTTCAAATTTCTATTAAAATATGTTTATTTTTCATTTTGAGAAAATAGTTACACTTTTGGACAATTTTTGCAGAAATCGATTTTTGAAGTGACGAAACCTGGATTCTAAAGGGCATGGGCTAATTAGATACTTCTCATACTTGGTAGGTAAACCAGGTGATTTTCATTAGTATTATTAAACCTTTTGGGCTACACACTTTCTTACTTATTTTACTCATCATAATTTTTCTCTTCAGGTCTCAGATATTTCCAAACAGAAAGTATGCCTGTTCAAAATATGACTCTAATGGGACAACCAGGGTTGGGCTACTTAGTCCCAGTGATCATCGAGCAATTGGAATTAGATGAAAATAATGTACAAAGACCTTTGAATGCAGTCTCTAGTTCATTTCAGCAATCTCCAAATCATGATTTTCCTTTAAATTCTCATGCAGAAAGTTATTCTAGTTTAAATTGTTTGGAAATTGGGAATTATAATACACGTCTTGCTACTGCCCCTCAGCCTGCCGATGCATTCTCTGGGCTGGCTCAGGCCCCAGAGGGGGCGGAGACCAGCCTCAGACTTGCCATGGACAGACCAGTGAAGGAAGAAAGAGGTAATTCCATCTACAAAATTGAAGAAGAAAAAGAGGAGAGGAAAGAAAGTCACTCACAAGGCTCCAGCCAAGGCAGGCGTAGAGCTAAGTAAGCCACTAAGGGAGATATTTTAGAATGGGCTGGGGATTTATAGACCTTTGATAATGAAATTTAGCACCTAAGTGTTAATTATGATCCTTATGAAAAATTAGTTTACATATGACAATTAAGCATAATTTAACTTCTAAGGCACATATCACCGATAATTTCATCATTCTTTGTCGAAAGTCACCTAATGGGCTGTTTTATCAGAATATTGCATAATTTGTTCACCTAATCTGAATTTCCTTATTTTCATCAAATTGGGATATTTTAAGTTACAAAATTTCTCGAATGAGAGAAAAGTTTGAATTTATTATGAAAGTTATCTTTTATAATACTTGATTATTGCTGTACCCAAAACATGCCTAATAGAGCCCAAGTGCAGCCAGCATATAAAATTTCAGCCATAAATTAAAGATTTATTATTACCTTAAAAAATTTAGAAATTACTAACAGTACAATTTTGTTAATGAGTCAAGAAATTAGAGTGACTCCAGCAGATTTTGGAGGGAGTTTAAGCAGGTTAGGAAGCACAGGTGATGGGGTTAAGATTAGCTTAATGATGGGGAAATTTTAGATGCAAGCAGCCAGAGGGTTGTTATATGGGCATAATCTTTGATTTGATTGATAGAGAATGATATTAGAGATGTTTTTAGGAGTTTGGAAATAGCCTAAGTTACTCTCTTTTGCACTTTCACTGTATAATTAAAATTACCTTAATGTGTGAAAAATTTACAAATTTTTATAAACTAATCGATTCACCTAAGATTCTGAGAAGGCTTACCATAATGCTTAGAACCTTCTCGGGTCCCCTATCGTTGCTGTTTAGTCATGGAAGGAAAAATTACAATTTTTTTATTCTTGAAAATGGTCGGAAATTTTGAGGAGAAATTTGGACTCTATTACAATAGCTATTCTACCAATTCAAAATTTTCATCTTAGTAGTACAAAGAGAGATGTTTATAGCGAAATTCTACTATGAATTGCCAAAATTTGCCTAAAAATTAATCTCTAGAAGTCTCATGGTTTATTTATAGAAACGAGATCAACTTTGGAGAAGAACTACAGCAATACCAAGGGTTCTATGAAGAGCTAGGAAAGCCGCAGACTATGGACAAGAACCAAACCAATTACAGGTGAAAAGTCTCAATGTGCAACAAAGGATTCAGCAGAGCCCAGAATATGGTAATGCATCTCAGAGTCCACTTTGGAGTCAAGGATTATGAATGAAATCAATGCGGCAAAAGGTTCACTCAGAAAGGAAATAAAGATAAGCATATGAAGCTCCATGAGATCCCAAGGCTTGAGGACAGAAGGACTTTTGAGTGACGTCTCTGAAGGGGCAAATTCACAGAAAAACATAACCTTCAGGTAATACTCGACTCCAGGTTTCAGGTCACCAAGTCACATATTTGCTCAAATTTAGTTGAAATTTGAGTAAATTTCTTTGATTTGTCTAAGTTATTTCTGAACTAATTATACACATGGGACTTTATGCCTACTAAACTTATCTCCTAACCTAATTATAGTTTAATTTGAAGAACATGCATGGAGTTGACCCAAAAAGGGATGAATAATTGAGCACGTTACCCCCTTTAAAATACAGATTCCATCGTTAATATTATATATGGGGTTTTGGGGTTTTGGGGTTTTGGGGTTTTGGGG